AGAGCCAGACAAAATAAACGATTAAAAGGCAGCCTGTGGAAAGCAGAAGGAAAATTATCTCAGAGATACACAGAGAAACAGTATGAAAGAACAGAGCATAACAGACTGGAGAATTATGTATTAAATCTAAGTGAATACTGACAATGAAATGACAATAATATAGAGACTGAATGTGTGGAACCACCCCCTAGTTCCTATGTTGAATTGCAGCCCCAAATGTATTTGGGGCTGGAGCCTTTGGAAAGTGACTATTGCCCCTGAGAAAGAGACCATAGAAAGTTCCCTTGCCCTTTCTGCACAAGGTTACAGCAAGAAGATAGCTGTTTATGAACCAGGAAGCAGGTCCTCACCAGGTGACTAATTTGCCTAACTTGATCTTAGACTTCCCAGCCTCCAGAAACATGAACAAGAAATTTCTGTTGTTTGTGACCTATCTAGTTTCCAGTACTTTATTATAATAGCAGTCTGCACAACTTCATATATATATATATATATGTATGTATGTATGTATGTATGTATGTATATATATATGTATGTATGTATGTATGTATGTGTGTATGTCTGTCTAGAAGTATAAATACAAAAGTGTTTATGCGTGTATGTATCGACATATACAGATGTATAGACATTTAAAATATCCACTAGCATGAGGAGGAGAGTTTAGTGAGCTAGAGGAGTGCAAGGTCCTGGTATTGCACTGGAAGTGCCAAAAAGATAATATTAGGAAAAAAGAAATAAAGTCCGATAAAGTACGAGTTTTGTACCAGGGAAGTATAAAATATTGAGAGACATTAAAGTCAAACATAAGGAGGTGCACAGAGTGGACTGGGAGATTAAAAGATGTCAATTCTCCCACAAGTTACACTGGATGTGATGGAATCCCTAGAAAAAATGATGGTAGCATGTGGTCTGTGGTGACTGACAAGCTGATTCTAAAATTTGTATGAAAATACCAAGGGCCAAAAATAGATAACTGGATCATGAAGATGTAGTATATAGTGGCCGTGCAATATTGCTCAGCAATCAAAGATAAACTCATGACATTCGCAGCAACATGGATGGAGCTGGAAGGGATCTTGCCCAGTGAAATAAGCCAGAAGGAAAAGGAAAAATACCATATGGTTTCAATTTTTGCAGGAATGTAAGGGATCAGGAAAAAAAGTAAATATAATAAAGTACAAATCAAAATCAACAGGCAACTAAAACCAGAGACATTTTGCTGGAGTGGAGAGGGGAGCACGATTAAAACAGGGCTGGGAAGAGCAGAAGAGACTGTGATGATGGTGCTGGGGTGTGTTGGTAGTGGGAATTCCACGGGAGCCACACTAAGATGAAAAAGGATACACTGTTCACAAATGAAGAATGATGTAAAAATACATAAAAATTTTAAACAGAATAAATTGCAAACATTTTAAAAAATAGTGCTTTTGGACGAAAATGCTGGAACAATCTGAAGACATATACTAACTCAACATTCAATGTTTAGTGGAGTTATTTATATGTTACTTTGCTCAAAAAAGTAAGTAAATATGTAGGTATTCCCCAAAAAGAAGAAGAAAATACCAAGAGCCAAGATGAGCAAGATTATTTCTGAACTAGAAGAGTAAATACCAAGTAGACTGGAAGCCAAACTGTTATAAAACGAGGCCTTGGTATATAGTGAGTCACGTAACAAAGGGCCCAGAAACGATCATTGCTTTGAGAAGTAAAACAGTGGGAAAATGATGGCCTTTGTGAGGACTGTTGGTATGTCCACCTGATGCCCATATTGTAATGTTAAAAACCAGTCCCAACCCACAGTGTATCCCAAAAGCAGTCCCTGGTAGAGTATAAGTGTACAGGTGAAAGCCAAAACTAGCAATGACAAAAGATCTCACTGGAAAATAGCTTCATGATTTGGGAATTAGTGAAAGTTTCCTCTAACAGAATACAGAAAAAAATCCCACTAAATATAGAGAAAAAGGATAACACATTGAGGGGTTTCTATGTATCAAATGGAGAGAATGAGGAGGCATGAAAAGAATGAAGAGGATGAAAAGGCAAATCAAAAGGGGGAGAAGAGATGCAAAACAGTAACCAACCTGGCCTAGAAGCAAATAAAGAACACCTTCAAATTAGTTAGTAAAAGGCAATCCCATAAAAAAAAAAAAGGCGTAAGATTAGAATGAGCACTTCGCAAAAAAGAAAGAAAGAAAAAGTGGTGAATAAACATCCAGGTTTCCTCTTCCATCTAAAAGTAGAACGTTCCTATTCGGTATGATTTGACAAGTTATATTTTGGGATATGGAAATGCTATTACCATGAATTTATATGGAAATTTATTGAGAAGCCTCAGACCCAAAAATAACCTACCCAATCACACAAAATAAGAACATTCTACTTTTGGATAGTGGGGGAATGTGAAAATAATCCTCGTTCACATTAGTAATAAAGAAAATGCAAATGAACCCTTTGTACAATCAACCAAATTATTTAAAAAAAAAAACAGCGTGGGTTAAATGTGAAGTTATTGCAAATTTCCTGCATGGGTAGTGAGAAGGTAACTTAGCACATCCGCTCTGAAAAAGCAGAATCATGTACCGGAAGAGAACATGGGCAGTATTATGAGTGGCTTAGTCCTTTCACTCCTACGTATCTGTCCAACAAAGATACCCATATGTGCCAAGAGACATGCACAAAGGTGAAAACTGAAACATCTCAAGCATCCAGCAACGGTAGATGTAAACCCATATTTAAACACCATTTACCATGATGTGTTCTAAACGTGAAGATGAAGAGAGGCCACCATTACATGCAACAGAAATGCACTGGTATTATAAAAATGTTACTCAAAAGAGCTATAAGCAAGCAAATATTCAGTGATTTCATTGATAGAAAGTGAAAGTTAATCCCTGGTGTTAACAAAATAGTGTTTAGATTGGGAAAGTAAAAAAAGGGAGTAGTGATTAGAAGGAGTGAGGTTGCTGGGGTGTATCCAGTGCTCCGACTTCTTTACCCTAGTGACAGTTCCATATAAACCGGGATAATTTGCCAAGCAGTAGACTCGTGCTTCTCAACTAGGAATATCATAGGGGACATTTAGCAATTGGGGTGGAATTTTTGGTGTCATTCCGGTTGGGGGGGGGTGATACTGGGATCTAATGGATAGAGGTCAAGGACACCGCTAAACATACAGCCCCTATTGCTGCAGTTAAAAAAAAAATAGTCCAAAATATCAATAATGCTGAAAGTGAGAAAGTGGTGAATAAACATCCAGGTTTCCTCTTCTATCTAAAAGTAGAACGCACTTACTGCTTGACCCTTCTGTGTAACTTAAATGTACTTGCGAGAGCAAGCAAGCGAGGGCAAGAACAAAGCCATGCACATGTGTCTACAATAGGCAAGGATGCTACTCTCTTTGCAAGTTTTCTTATTTTAGATTTTGCTCCTTGTTAAACTGATTTATTGCCTTCTAATGGTCACTAAGAATTGAGTGGGACAAATGTTCCTGCAAAATTGTAAGCACAGGAAACTAGGGTTGAGGAAATTCTGTCCATTTAGCTACTACTTCCTTGATGACTCATTTTTTTTATACTGGAAGAAACTTTATAGCCAAACAGTGACATGACAACTTAAGGGGAGCAGAACTGGAGAGATCTCTTCCTTGTTCTGAGACGAACTTTCTAAGAAGTGTTCAGGATGTACAACAGACCTCCACATTACTTAACCAAATCAAAAATGTATCCTGTTACTTTGAAATAGAAGCTTATTATTGATACTTTATAAGTATATGATAATTTATCTGCAGCAGTATATGGAGAAACATCCAAAGTCAGTAATTTAATTTTATGGGGAAAATAAGAAGGCTTCTAGGACTTTATTGGCATCCTGGTTAACTAAGTTCAGGTAACTGAACTTAGTTGAGAAAATACAAATATTGGGCCTCCCTAGTGGCACAAGTGGTTAAAGCACAGCACTATGAAGCTATCTACAGCCACTGCAGCACGAGTTCGATCCCCAGCCAGGGAGCTGACCCACAAAGTGCAGCAGACCTCTCCTGTCTCGGCCGCTGTTCCCTTCTGCAGTGTACTTCAGTACATCTGCCTGTTCTGCTCCCCACTGTCTCTGGTAAATCCTCTCACCACCACACCACACCTCTGGAAGGTACCCCATTTCTTATATGCATAAATAAATAAATCTTTAAAAAAGAAAAGAAAATACAAAAACTGAGTTGTGATCCATATGTCAATGATCCCATCAGTGTCCATTCCATTCCCCCCACATTTGGCAAAAAGAGCTTGCTTATTAAGGGCAGGAAGCATTAAAGGGGATTTATTTATGTATGACAAAGAACTGAAAAGGATTACTTAACATAATGAAAGTAATGTGCCCAGGGAAAGTAATAAAATAAATGCTTCATTTCTTTAGGACAGCTTAGCTCAATGCAATGTTGCAGCAATATGAACTATTCAATTTGGGATCATTTTTATGAAAAGGTACAGGAAAAGTAAGATTAGTAAAATAGTCTAAGAACCCAAGATGGGAGCCTGCAATAGAATACAGGAGTTGACATTCCAAGAATTTGGGAATGGAATGGAAAGTCATTGCCTCTGACTACTAAACATGCACTTTTCCTAAGACAGTCTCTTATTCTCTGCCCCTATATTTAAAATACTCTTTTTCTATGGCCCTCCCTGGTGGCACAACAGGTTAAGGTATAGCACTATGAAGCTAGACGCAGCTGTTTCAGTGTGAGCTTGATCCCCGGCCAGGAAGCTGACCCACACGGCACAGCAGACATCTGTCTCACCCACTGCTCCCCTCAGCAGTGTACTTCGTCAGTCAGCCTGTTCTGCTCCCCACTCTGACTCTAGTGAATCCTCTCACTGCACCTCTGGCCTGTACCCCAGTTCTATATGCATAAATAAATGAATCTTTAAAAAAAAATACTCCTTTCCCTGGTTTCCTCTGCTTGTCCAATCTCCTCAGTCATCAAATTCACACAAGGACATGGGACTCACGCGACTTTGGCACACACAGTGCACTTCCAGCTGCCATTGAGGCCCGAGACCCGGCACTCGCTGCACACTCTGAGCGAGCAGGCCTGGCACGGGTCTCCACGGTCGAAGATGAAGCCCAACTGTTTCTGACAGTGAACACAGACTCTGCTGGTCTCCTGATGGGTCTTCCCACTTCTACGTTTTGCTTCTATGAGTTCATTTTTCAGCTTCCTGGAGGAAGAGGAGAAAAAAAATAAATCACTATTTGTCATTAGCGTTTATTTACAACTACCCTAACTTCTCCAGTTCGTCTTTACACCAGCACCTCGGAGCACAGGCCCAGCCCAATAGCAGGTACAATATTACATTCCTTAGCTTTCCAGCTAGTTTTCCAGCCTAGGGTTGGAAATCAAAATTGGTAACTTTCCTTAAGTGATCCAAGAAGTATTTGCTACAAAGACTTTTCCCGGCACTCCAGGTACAAATGCTACGGTTTATATCTGACCTGTGGGCCTCTGTTGTCAGACATGTCTTTTGGAGTCAAGTTCCCTCATGAATTAGGTGTCCAAACTTAGGCAATCATTGACCCAATCTAGCTTAGTCTTTTAATTTCTAAAGAGAGGATAATAATAGTCTTTCATGACTGTTTTTAAGATTAGAGGTGATATCTATGTAAAGTTACCAGCTTAGTATACCTGGCCATATCCTTGCTTTTCCTGCCTGACTGGTGATCTATAAAGATGTTTCTATGATGTACATGTAAAAAAGACCTTGTAGGAAATAGCTATTCAAAGTGTGGCCCTTGTTCTAGGAAGCTCAGCATCATCTGAGGCTTAGAAATGCTGAGTCTCAGGTCCCACATCAGACCTACTACATCAGATTCTGCAATTTAACCATATCTCTGGGTGATTCAAGTATGAGCAGCACTGGTTTAGAAAATATGACTTCAAATTTTGCTTACAGTGGAAACACCGAGGAAGGCATTTCCCAAATCTCATCTCCACAGACTCTAATGTAACTGGTTCAGGATGTGGCCCACATAGTATTTTTAAAACTTCCCCAGTTAGTATAAAATACTGCCAAATTTGGATAGCACTACTCTGGAAGATAGAATAATTCCCACTTATATCGTATACAGACATGCCATTCCTTTTTGCCACCTCTAAAATGAATACAATAAAAACAAACACTCCAGAACCATCCTGAGCATCTCATACCACCCCCTTCAGATGTGTGTTCTTGTGCTTTGTTTGACCCAGCTACATTAGCATTTTCCCCAAGGCAGGAATAGCAAATTTAGTTTCTTGGACACACAGCTTGTGACCCAGTGATGTACTCTGTTATAAAGTATTTAACTATTTAAAGTTGTATCAATTGTATCATTAAACTAACATGTGAGACATTATGAGTCTCATATTAAGGATAGTAAGCACAATAGGATAAAACAGAAGCCAGATCTTTTTATCTTCCCTTTTATGAAACTGATACCTAGTTTACAACACTGTAAGGGGATCAGGTGTGTAGTTTCTCACCTCAGCAACTGTAGGTTTCACACCACAGTCACCACCAAATGTCTAATCACTAGCCACCAACCACTTCTGGTCCACCACTTCTGGTATCTACCATTTGTAGTAAGAGTCTAAGGAAACCAGGCCTTTTATTTTGATTTTACTGAGGTAACAATGGCTTCCAGCACTATATATGGTTCAGGGGATTAGGTTTATACCTGCTCAGGTAAACATCAGCATGCCACACTCCACAGGTAATCCCCTGTCACTGGACCATAGACCACTGAACTCTCTCTCCCTTTTGTTCCCACCCTCCCCCTGAATTTTGTAATTATACTTCTAGATTTTGTTTTGGTTTACTTTTTGTCAGTTCCTTTGTTTAATTTCTCTATATTCCAAATATGAATGAAATCATCAAGTATTTATCTTTTTTTTTTTTTTTATTCTATTTTTATTTGTCCTACCAGATCTGGGGCAGTCACTGGAGTACAGACGTGTGAACTCTCTCTCCCTTTTGTTCCCACCCTCCCCCTGAATTTTGTAATTATACTTCTAGATTTTGTTTTGGTTTACTTTTTGTCAGTTCCTTTGTTTAATTTCTCTATATTCCAAATATGAATGAAATCATCAAGTATTTATCTTTTTTAATTCACTTAACACAATCCTGTCAGTTCCCTCCCCTCTATGCTAATACAAATGGTAAGAGGTTTGTAATTTTTAGAGCTCAATAGTATTCCATTGCATATGTGTACCTCATCTTCTTAATCCACTCATCTGTTTTTGGGCACAAAGGTTGTTTGCATAATGTGGCTATTACAAAAAGTGTTGCAATGAACACAGGAGTGCATACGACTCTAAGTTACTGTCTTTACATTCTTTGAACAGATGTTGGAGTGAAATTACTAGGTCATATGGTAAATCTATTTTCAATATTTTAACAAACATCCATATGGTTCTCCACATGGGTTAGACTAGCCTACATTCCTACCAATGATGTACAAGCGTTTCTTTTTCATCATACCACTCTAAATCTTGTTTCTTTCTGGTCTTTTTCATATGGGGCAGACTCACACACTACTTACTGTAGTTTTCACTTGCATTTTCCTGATAAGTGACAAGGATCATCTTCTCATGTGCCCGTTGGCCAGTTATATGCCTTCTTTGGAGAAGTGTCAATTTCGTGCTTCTGCCCATTTTTTTTATTAGGTTCTTTAATTTCAAGTTGCATGAAATCTTTGTAGATTTTGGATATTAAGCTCCTGTCTAATGTATGGTGTGTCCCAATTGCTGGAACATCTTTCATTTGAGTGGTAGTTTTTTTCCACTGTGCCCAAGCTTTTTAGTTGAATGTAGCCCCACTTGTTAATTTCCTTGCTACTGGAGTCGAGTCTTCAAAGATAACATGGAAACCAATGTCATGGAGTGTTTCGCCTATATTTTCTTGCCTATATTTTTATCAAACTGGGTCTTTTAATTCCTAACTTTGATGTAACGAGTCAAAACATGGAATTCTAAGAATGAGGAGTAAAATTTCCATTCATTCACCCAATCATCATTTTGAGTGTCTATTGTGTGTTATCTCTGGCAAGCAGAGATAAAGACATGTCTAAACATGACATCCACTTAATAATGACTAATGTTAGTCAAAAAGATAAGATGCTTCATTTAGAACATTCTTAAGTCTCCACCATCTTGTCCTTCCCAACCCCAATTTAGAGCTGACAAATTATCTCATGTCATTCTTTTTCATAAGCATCTTTCTCATGAAATTGAGTATAAGAACACTTCCACATAATTTACTGTGGAAGCAACAAGCTTTAAAATAACACAATGAGTTCTTATTTGAAAACTATAACTAATGGCTTCAGTGTAGAAATTTCATCTAGAAATGTAGCCTTGCAGCCCAAGGCCTCTCCCACTACCTGGCCCAGGCCAACATGCATCCTAGCTTGATCCCCCCTCTTTGTCTTCACTGGAGCCAGAGGGACTGGAGCAGCGCTGTATGTCGTATGTCTGGCTTTGTTCAACACAGATTTCCATTGGGACAAAAAGAATAACCCAGAAAGCTGTAGCAAGCTGGATCCCAATGATCAACACAAGTTGTACTCAGTGATCACAGATGAGAGAAAACTGAAGAAAGCAAGCCCAGGCTTCTACATGCAATACTTCACCATAAAGTTACTTAAAATTAAAGTCTTCTAGATGCCTCAGCTTAACTTCCCACTCAACCATGAAAGACTTACCTTCTAAATGCACAAAATCATGTTGGTGTATTGTATTGGGATTTACACTGATTAGTAAATGTTTGGAATTTGGGAGGCATAAACAGAAAAATCACAACTATATTATTTGGAGGGAATCTCTGTAGATATTTCAATACTACAGACCAGAGGAGAAACAAAACACTGCCGATTCAAAATCTATAACAAATCATGTAGGCCTAATAAAGAAACAAAGTGATCAGTGTAAGTGGAATAAAAACAGCAATACTACATAGCAGTCATATCTGAATAGGCTGGTGGACCAGAGAGTAACAAACTGTGAAATTGTGGGAGCACTTCAGGACATTTTAGGGGTAACTTTCTTTTAGAAAACAATTCTGGGGCCCTTCCTGGTAATGCAATGGTTAAAGCATAGCACTGCAAAGCTAGCTGCAGCCTCTTCAGCATGAGTTCCACCCCCCGCCAGGGAAGTGACCCACAAGGCATGGCAGACCTCTCCTGACCCGCCCGCTGCACCCCTCAGCAGTGTACTTCCTCGATCTGCCTGTTCTGCTCCCCACTCTGTCCCTTGTGAATCCTCTCAGCTACCACACCTCTGGCCTGTATCCCAGTTCTCTAAGCATAAATCAATAAATCTTTAAGAAAAAAAAAAAGAAATTCACTTCAGCCATATCTAGGATAATGCTCTTTAAGTGGACACAGCCATTTTCAGACACCAAAGAAGTAGAGGAAAGGTAACAGGAAGAGTAACTGCAATCAGGAAAAACTGGTAGCAAAAGGAAATACGGGGAGCTGGGCTGGTTTTACTGGCTTCATGTTTGTCTTGCCAAATTCTGTTTTCTCCATGAATACACATCCACTTTGTTCAGCTTTGAATTTGCATGTAACCATCACTTAGAACACAACAGATATCACTTTATTGAAAGAATAAAAGAAAGCCTATGTTAGAAAGTCACTTGGGAACGGGAACAGGAAGAGAAGGGGGAAAAAAAGGATCAGTAAAAGCAAATAAAGGAAGGAGGTAGGGAGGAGAGTGTGAGAAAGAGGGACATAGGGAGGCAGGAAAGAAGGAAAGAAAGGAAGGAAGAGAAGGAGTGAAGAAAGTAAGAAGGAAAGGTCAGTGGGAAGAGGGAGGGAGGGAGGCAGGCTCAGCCAAGCTGCCGAAGAGATGCTGAGGGACATTCCAGTTAACCACTCTGGATCTCAGTTACTTCAACTTCAAAATGAAGACAATGCCTTTCCTGTCTTCCTCCTAGGGTATTTAAGATCCAGAAGCAATAAACTATGGCAGTACTTAGCTTTCTAAATTATAGAGGCCTTATAATATGAAGCCATCATTATTAAAAAGAGAATGAGATAAGAACAAAAGGTACACTGTTGGATCCGTTAAGAATAAAGTGCAATTAAAACTGGCTAAAATTCAGATCAAATACACTACAAGAAAAGTAATATAATAAGCCTGAAAAAAATTAGATTGTTTTCAGTTACTCGGTAAGGAATT